AATCTTACTATATAAAACTCAACTAATGGGATGTGATCAGAGACACCAATGGGAAAGTGACACATGGAGGAAAAAGACGCAGATGTCAAGTGTCATTGAGTTCCGGCCTTGGGAAGAACGTATTAGTTCATTGGAGCATTTAATGCTAAGCCCTCGAGCAATGATGATACATGACATCTATGCCCATTACATCACCAGATTCGACAAAAAAGACAGGGGACGAGCAACATGCCTAGGAATGTCGCCTGCACGCTGTTCTAATACAAGAAACATGCACAAGAACCTAGGAGATCAGATGTGAAAGTCTCATCCTTGGGTAATGGGACCAATCATGCGAAGCCTCAAAGAGGTTCAATTCAATGCTTGGTCTTAGGACTTGCAGAAATTAGGAGCATTCGATGGGGGACACCTCATCTATGCTCAACCTCGAATATTAATGGACAGTAAAAGCTCAACTTTGGGTCCCTAGGGGGCCATGAATGCATGGCTCGAGGCACAATAATGGCGCGACTCGAGAGCTATTAACCCATAGTCAATAGGACCTAGCCCCCTATTGTCCCCATGTACGATCGAATTGAAGGAATTTTCCTCTAACACGATGTTAGAACACCTAAATCATCTAATGGCCCCTTTTTTTTTTGCACAAGTCAAACACCCTTGAGTGTAAATAACCTCCCAATATGATAACAAAATCATGCAACCCTAACCAATACTAGAGTCTTGCCATTTTTTCTCTCTCAGAAACTTACTTGAGCATTGGAGGGAAAACGTTGGATATACATCTGACGCCCTTCTAACCTTTTATGTGGTTGCATATCCATCACCATTCAAGTTATCCAAAACTTCATAGGCACATCCCAACACAATTCTCGCGTCCCAATGTGGGTGGCTCTCTGACCCATACTTCAGACTCAATTTTGACCTAGTTGGAAACTAATTCACAAAATTTTCATGAAACACATTTTTATAGCCCTTGAAGTCTAGTTTCTACTATTCAAAAATTAGAGAAAACGAATAACGGGGTAAAAATATATGCCCACAATACTAAGGTAGTGTCAAACTCTTTTCTACCTAAAATCTCTCCACGATACGTTTTAACTCTGGAATACTTCTAAACTTTTCATACACCCTATATCACCTCNACTTGTAAAGATGATTGATGACGTACTATATTAATCTACACTACTAATAATTTATATATATACTACTAATAAAAGTACCTTAGTGTAAAAAATTTTTGATTCACTATTTTTCCCTTATAAAAAACTATAATGTNTAAACTTTTCATACACCCTATATCACCTCTCCTAAGATTTATCAACCTTTCGAATTCAATAGTAGCCTTATTTTGACCTAAAAATATTTAAAAACTTATCAAACCACCATTCTCAATTTTAAACACCTCTAAAACTATCGACATGAAAATTAATACGTGTGAAAACTCAAACTTCATGATCATTTTTTCAACAATAATTTGAAGTTTCTATCATCCTTTTGGAAGTACTCTTAATATCATGTTATCCATCTTTGAATTTTGTACGGGGTCTTACACGATGAACACCCCACTTGTAGAGCCACGTGGTGGAAAAACCATGGGCCCCAAGCAAGAAGCCAAATATGTTACTAGTTTTGTCAGCCCCCAAGTCTTTGGATTTGACAGAGGGAGTTCAGCGAGATCCATAAATGTTCACCCATCACACCGAACCAAGCCTTGGAAGACCAGGGAAAAGGTTCCTCACCCACGAGTTGGTAGACTTTATTGAGCAACGACTTGACAACTGATTGGAGTGGATAGAGTGTGACAATGCGAACATTCTCAATAAGATCAATGCCATCAAACAATCNCAATGATGATACATGACATCTATGCCCATTACATCACCAGATTCGACAAAAAAGACAGGGGACGAGCAACATGCCTAGAAATGTCGCCTGCACGCTGTTCTAATACAAGAAACATGCACAAGAACCTAGGAGATCAGATGTGAAAGTCTCATCCTTGGGTAATGGGACCAATCATGCGAAGCCTCAAAGAGGTTCAATTCAATGCTTGGTCTTAGGACTTGCAGAAATTAGGAGCATTCGATGGGGGACACCTCATCTATGCTCAACCTCGAATATTAATGGACAGTAAAAGCTCAACTTTGGGTCCCTAGGGGGCCATGAATGCATGGCTCGAGGCACAATAATGGCGCGACTCGAGAGCTATTAACCCATAGTCAATAGGACCTAGCCCCCTATTGTCCCCATGTACGATCGAATTGAAGGAATTTTCCTCTAACACGATGTTAGAACACCTAAATCATCTAATGGCCCCTTTTTTTTTTGCACAAGTCAAACACCCTTGAGTGTAAATAACCTCCCAATATGATAANTTGACAAATTCTACCTGGGGTACTACTAGTTATACTAAAGGACTTGTTCAAGTCTCTCTCCCGGTCACCGTAGGCGACAGCCCGAAGGGCTAATTGCTCAACAGTGGGATTTTAAATTTTAAAATTTCTTCATTTAATTTGTAATTCATAGATAAAGGAGTAAAGTCTTATGTTCTACTCTAAAAATTTTGCTAAAAGCCCTCGCACCATTAGGATTTTTATTGAAAAAAACATATACATTTCCATCAGTATTTGTAGCTGATATTGCTCTATTTCTCGAATCTACCATCACTGCACGTATTTAAACAAGTCAGATATGACACTTGGCTAGCATGGCCCGTGGGGAAGAAATAATGCCTCTTGGGAATCTGTTCATGAAGAACTATTCGAACCATCTATTCATCTTTGTATAGTTATAATATAACTAGGGGTGTCAATTTTACTTATGGATGCAAATATGACATGAACTTGACCCTACATAAGACACGATCAATTTATATGAATAACACGATTAATAGGTATTGTGGACAAAAAATAAATATTTTATAATTTTTTTAAAAAAATATTACATAGTTTATGTTGGAAATATGAATTAAAAAAAAAGAGTAGATGATAGGGTGAAGTGCAGACTAGTTCACTCTTTTAAGACAATTTGTGCCCCTTTATAGATCAAATATGGTGCGGTAGGTTAAAACATGTCGTCTCAAGGATACAACATCTCAACCTAATTGATTGTAACTTCACTCCGATCTGCACAATTGATTGAAACAAAAGCTTCATCCGATACTTATCTAATTTGCCTAGAGAAATTATGCAATGAGAAAATATGAGAATAAAGTATATATTTTTCTGGCCTGAAAACACCTGATTATATACTTGTAAAGATGATTGATGACGTACTATATTAATCTACACTACTAATAATTTATATCTATACTACTAATAAAAGTACCTTAGTGTAAAAAATTTTTGATTCACTATTTTTCCCTTATAAAAAACTATAATGGCTGACATATCATTTTGTATTTAAATATAAAAATTATCATTATATACCTATGTTTTTAAATAACAAACTAATCTTTAACAAATCATATAAATCTCTATATCTTTGTAAAACTTTTGAATTGTCATGTTATACTTAACATGATATATAAAAAAAAAATTCAAAATCCCAATATTAATACTCGTCGACAACTCTATTGATACAATATCATCTTCATCGCCCAAAAATGGATATATATATATAGTTTTTCTCTTCATTCACTATCAAAATAATTTGGTAAAAACTATTGAGGCACAAAGAAAAAATAAGAAAGACAAAAAAAAATAAAAAATAAAAACTTTTACTACTTGGTAGCTCAAATAAAAGAATCACAAAAAATAAGTCAATTATTTATTTATAATTATGAAAAGAATACTAATAGTTTAAGTATGATAAATATGAAATAATATATAATTTACTACATAATTAGATTTTTTTAATGTATTTTCACAAATGTTTTAACAAAAAAAATTCATGTGCAACGCACGTGGTGTATTGCTAGTTTTTAATATAAAAAAAAAAGTGACTATTGGCAAATAGATGTTAGACCAATTCAGAAACTGAACTTTTAATGAGGAAAAAATGATGGTTACACACAATGTACAGTGTAAATTTTAGAAACTCGTATTTCTTCCACTATTTCAACCACTCTTCCCACCCCAGCGAACATGAAAGTCTCATTGTCTCACTCAACTTAATGACTAGGTAGCACTAGTATAGTATATAAACTCAAGTTATTTTATAAACTTAATTGATGTGGGAATGAATTTCCCCCATAAAGTACTCCTTTTATTAAAATATTCTAACAATATCATATGAGTTGCAAGATTAATTAATTTTCTATTTAACGAATATTGACACGAACACAACATGTACCGAAAATAACACAACAAAAAATCACATGACACAAAAATGACACAACATGATTGACAGCCTTAGTTACAACAATATACTATTTAACTTATCAATCAAAGACCCTTGGAAAAACACCCCAATAATGTACTCTAACCATCTTCGGCGGNGGTGGGTAGAAGCCAAACATCTAACCCACATCCGAGATATAGACACAAAGAGATTCATTTAGAGATATATTGTCACTCACTTTGGCATCCCTCGAGACATTGTATCAAACAATGACACTCGATTTATAGTGCACCTTTTAAGAAATTTTGAGAATGACTTGGCATCTAGAACTATTATTCCACCTTGGCCTATCCCTGGTGCAATAGAAAAGCCAAAGCCTTAAACAAGACGGTCCTTAATGAAAGGCACAACCACAGACGGGATAAGAATTTGGTAGCAAAGTAATGTACCCAAATGTACCAAGGCAAAGACATCTTCCTTAGGTGAGTGTAGCTTGCACCCGAACGAGAAGTACAACCCTAAACGGGATAAGACTTCATCAATGATTCACTGCGCCCAGAGGTACCAAGGTAAAGATGCCTTCCTCAGGTGAACCTTACCAAAGCCTGAGCATTAGAGTTGATCAAAAAGGATGACACCCAAGTAAAACACAAGGCAATAAAATGCAAGAAGGCATTTCCATCCATATGGAGGGTTTTTTATCCCCTAGAGGAAAAAAATTAAGCTAAGCCGCCACCGCCGTGGACATTTTCTTCCCTCTTATTTGGGTCTTCACCTAGCAAATCCATGATATCCACCGACAGATCTTTGGCCTGACTATTTCGCATTGGGAGGACCTTCTTAAGAAGTTGCACTGTGTTAGATCCCTTGGCCACCAAAGGTGTGGGCCCAACTGTATGCTTTTGAAAGAGCGTCGAATTTGAGGGCACACCAGTAGCACAATGGACAACATCACAACCCTCCTTGAAGGATTTATTCTTTAGCTCCCTAAAGATCAAGAAAATCTCGTTTTCATATTGGGCGACCATTTCCTGAATGGTCTCCTCCCATTTGGAGACCTCCTCCAAGGAACTCCTAAACTTCCCAATTTTCTCACTCAATGATGCATACTTACTCTCAGCGATGGACACCTTTAGCTCAACCTCATTCATTTGACGCTCCGCCTCAGCCTTGGCAACCTTGTTCTTCTCCAACTTCGTTGATATTTCAGTCATCCAATCTATCATCTGCTTAATCTGGGCAACTTGGTTATCAAAAATCTTATCTTTTGATAGGACGTCCTTCTTGAGATCATCGATCTCAGTTGGAGCCTTCTTGCTCAAGATTCAGTATACCCAAAACCATTTGGTAACGAATGACATCTATTAGTAGTTTTGTGCCAAAAGGGAAAAGGTTAGAATCAAGGCAGGTACATGGAAAAGGGAAGGGCGTAAGCTTGGATACTCATCATCAAGGCATTCTAAATTACCCCTAAAATATAGAAGTCTGTTGTCAGAGCGGTCCCAATGTTGCGACATGTCGACTTCGAAGTGAAGGGCGCTACTTACAACATAAGCCACATCAAGGGACTAAGTGATGGAGTCAGAGCTCAACACGAATTTATTCTTTCTAATAGTGGCTCATAGGTGCCAATCCAATGTTCTCCCAAGGTTAATGTTGGTTGGGGGCCTTTCTAAGAAGGCACGACGATTAGGGCCTAGGGTTGTTACATATACCCTAAGTTATGGCACATTT